GCGGTGCTCGGTTATTTTTATTAGAATCTGAATCCACTGTACAAAGGGGGTGAATCCTAATCCTGTTCCCTAACCTTCCTCGACGGTGACCTTAGCCAACCGCTCATCATTCCATCGAAGCACGTACCGAGCTCGTCTGATTTGCATAAGACCGGAGTAAGTATCGAGCGAGCGCGAGGTCGAAGCAACATGTACTTCGACAGATCGAGCTCTCTTGCTTTTACGGCCATGATCCGGTGAATACACATACAGGCAAAGATCTCTTCTCCCTCTATACTCCACTGTGAATTTTATTCGCATCCTTTACAAAGATCAAATTAGCCTCGGTATACTTTCAGGTATACATTCTGTCTCCTTGCTATTTCTTCTCGGTTCGTCGGTTCTCACTTAATGAAAGCTTCGTATTTCTCCCTTCGATATCCTTGGATCCATCAGGTATTCTCTGATCAATGATTATTATTTGTGTTCTGCGACAGTTCTTCCATTTCAATTTCGGTTCGAGCCAGGCTTGATTAGGCTAGGTCTTTGAATTATTAGGTGTTATTGAATATTAATTTTGAAGTCAGAATTGGGTTTTTAATTTATTAGGTGTTATTGAATTTTTGTATTGGAATGAAAGCACGAAGAAAGTTAGACGTTTTAATTACTTCGATTTCAATTCAACGTTGGACAAAATAATTCATAGTTGATGATCTAATTGAATTTTCCAATTTGATAGTAGTTTAATTTTAAAAACTCGTGTGACGTTGATTGAAATGTACTCTGAGAAAATATAAATGTTTGCTTGAAAATAAAAATAGTCGAGAATAGTAGTCTTAAAATTTTTCAAATTGTTTCTTCATTTTAATCATCATTTCGCCGAAGTGGAGAACCGATTCAGTGTAGTTGAGAAATTGACATTTGAAAAATTCGCCACGAGTCGTCCCTCGTCTGCCATAAGTGGAAGAAGAGAAAGCAGGGGAAGAAGGGGTTGAAAGGCAAAAACGCTTAGCCGAGGAGTCACGGTTCACAGCTATCGAAATTCGATTTCGCAACGGATCCCGTTCGGTATTGTGTTCCTTGACGCCGCAGATCAGCTGATTGCAATTTTAACGCGCGGGAGGCAATCGGATTTCAGCGAGACCTTTTCGAATCACTCGGTGCGAGCAAGCCACGTACGTGTGTGCCATTAGAACTCGTTAATCCTGGCCAATTTGTTCGCGAAGCCCAAGACCATTCGAACGTAGCTAGAAGCGAAAATCTCGCAATTGGCCCAACCTGTCTCTCCCCCAATCGTCTCGTCATTAAAATCATAGAAACGTTTCGTTGCACATTTGTTCGCTCGAATGTTCGAATGATCGACAATATCAATGAGATCCAGACACTTTCAATTCGTTGGTGATCCACGAGAGTCAAGTTCAATTCACTTTAAAACTGAACTCGGATGAAACTAATTCTAATTCAACTCTCAAAATTCGTGATCTATCGTGTTGCACATCAGTTGGTGTCGAATTATTTTGCAATTCTTCCTCGAGCACAGCTATTTATTCTTTTGAAAATAAATATTTCTTGGTTCTTTTTTTTTTTTTTTTTTTTTTTT